TAGAAATTTTATTACCTATTTAGGAAATTAGAAATCACATCTTTACCTAGACCTAACCCTAGGCTCGTAGTACTCTGACGTTACCCCCGGTTCTCTTAGCAACGGCGTTGCTGGGGTCAAGCCCTCGTCTAAATCTCATGCAATAACTAGTAGAAGATAGTAAAGAAAGATACCTGGGGGGGCATCTATAAAACTCTCTAAGATACCCCTATCTAGCGTTCTCTTATCATGTCGCGCTACTGTTAGAGAGAAAGCAATAGTGGGGGAGAGAAAGAGAGATACTGGGGGGTATCTAGAAAACTTTCCAAGACACCCCCATCTAGTATTGTTCTCTTATCACATCGCGCTGCTATTGGGGTAAGAGTGACAGTGGGGAGAGTCGAGAGAGAGCAACAGCGGGGGGGGGAGTTGGTAGTGGGCAACAGTTGCCCTCCTCAAACGCCCCCCTCTCTTACCTACCTCGATCTTGGCACGATTAGCTAGTTGAGATCCTTTTTCTATTATCCTATTTTTTCCTTTACCTCCTATAGTTACAGCGCGTTACTAAAAGAGTGCTTGCAGTGGGCGTAGCTCTAAGCTTGGGGTTAAGCCCTAACCCTAGCCCTAACCCTAGATGCAGCGACCACCCTGTACACTTGTATACACGCAGCTGCGAGTTTCGCGCTACTATTGGGGAGACTGTAAAAGTCGTTTCTAGTTACCTACTATGCTTCTGGGCCCTGTACTGGGATGAACTTGGGGTTAAGTCAACCCTAACGCTAAGCCTAACAGAGTTTAAACTTGGAATGGGGGGCATTCTAGAACCGAATACCTAAGTAGCACTACAATAGCTTGCCTATTGTCGAGTACTGTAATGCTTAATACTAAGCACTTCGGAATTGACTGGTGTGCTCATTGTTATAATCATGTAATTACAGCACGGTTCCTTAGCAGAATCCTCTAAATCGCTCACGGTCCACGGCGTAAGTATTTTGAAGGTAAGCGTTTTATAACCGCTCTTCACAGGTCGTAATAATACCTATCATCTAGAGACTTGAGCCAGACATCTAGTTACTGTCCAATCAAGCCGCGACATATTTAGCTAACTAGTAACATAATAGCAGCAAACTGATGACCAGTAGAGATTACTATAGCCATGCGGGAAAGTTCTTGAAGTCATCGCTTACTATTCAGCTGTTAGCATCTTTGTCAGCATAGTGTCAACAAATGGTTATGCGAAGGGCTTACCCAATAACAGGTGTTGGCTCTACAGACTATAGTTATAATAACCTCTGTCCGCTAGAGTGGTATAAAGATCAGATTCAGACTTTCATATAAAAACAACTTTCGTTTCCTGTAATAAGAAATCTATCTAACCAAGATATTACGTTTTAGGTCACTTTAGACAATCATGGCAAGCTCGAAGAGAGTTATGATCGCGTTTGGCCCACCTGAATATTCTCAAAAACTCACTGACGAATGGGAGCAATATTTTAAAGACAACATCCTACCCAAGTTTGAGAGCGTAAATTGGTCGCAAGAGAAGTCTGGCTGGGGATGGCTAGAATGCTCGGATACGTCGCGTGTCTACGAGATTCTAACTGCCTATGGATGGAAACTGGGCATGAACCCTTGGGGTAGCACTCGATACGATCCGACGCAGCAGAAACCTCCACAGGGTGGCCACAAGACGAAAACAAAGGAACGCAAGGGACATATCAAAAAAAGTAAAGCGAGTGCCGAATCTCTTCTTTAATAATAGGAAGAAACCGACTTGATGTCCTTGAATTTGCTGCAGATTCTAGAGGATGGCCATGGACCATCAAATCGTTTGTTTGCTCTTAACAAACTTAATAACTAATTAGTTAGCTCGATTTAAGCTAGACGTGTAGTAGATATCAAGAAATATCATACAGCTACACTATAAGCAAACTGCCTAATATAACACCACCACTTCAAGCTGTAATATAAGAGTGACACTAAGATTATTTCTATACCTTGAGTAATTAGTCACCAACTAATATAACGCGGTGAAAGAGGCCTGGATCGTCCGAAATTCTTTAGAGATTGAAATGAGGTTTAGGGTTAGTTATATACTCTTTCTTAGTAAAAGCATGTTGCCGTACTATGAATAACTAATAGAAGAACTATAAAAAAAATCTTAAACAGTAACTAATTAACTAGTTAATTCTATATTTTAAAGAGACTAATTAGATAAGATTCTCTCTGTTGCCTTGCATCCCAATCATGCATTCATTACTGGTCTATATTGGAGAGCTGAATCAGAACCTCTAAAATATCTGCTGGCCTATTAGCGTGAAGCTCGGGTTCTCTTAGATATAGCACGTTCTTTAATAAGACCATCTAGTTGTTCCTGCATAAGATGGATTTTCCTAGTGAAAGGGCTGCAACTCCTACTTTCTCTACCCCGCTTCTTCCTTCTTTGCTGTCTTTCTTCTTGCCTTTGTCGAGGCGAGGGTTCATCCGATAAGTTCACGTCGCTCTCTTCAGGTGTCCCACACTCTAGTCGCCTTGCATTGACGTTGTCTGGGCAATAGTCAACTTGCGAGGTACTACTTGAGGCATACCGTGCATCTGCTAGACTATCGTCTAGAACGTCCTCCTCCCGGGTTAATGTAAACTCGTGCCACATATGACTATTCACAAGATATCGGTCGATAAGATCGGGTTGAAGTTTCGTAGGAAAGCCATGCTCAAGCGCGTATGCACTAGCATGCGTGACGGGTCGGTGACCTGTCTGAAAAGCAAGAAGCTGAAGAAAGCCGTTGTAATCTTTTGGTGTGCTAGGGTCGAATGGTGCAACAAGGCCTGGGAGATGTTTCTTAGCGATGCTCACTGCGGTCTGCCTATACAAACTGGTATTCATAGGAACAGAACACCCAGCTGTTGCTTTTTTCAGGCTAGCGTAGGCCTGGTCTGAGGAGAAGCACGAGGTCGCGCTTTCGTGTGTGCTGAATAAGTGAGGGTTCGTTGAGTTTTTAGGCAAGATCCCTAGATTTCGGCTAATAAGACCGCGGAACGGTCGGATGTACACAAGGTACAGGTAGAGGATCCTTTGTACTATAGGACAGGGAGATCGCACAATGTAAAAGGAATTGTTGGTGTTGGTGTTTGCTTTGTTATACGAAAAAACAAGAACCACCTTTCCCTTGTACACGAAAATATTTCGCTGCACAGAAACTGTGTCAGCCCATCGCAACACCCTAAATTCTTCTCCGCGTGCTGGCATGCCATTTGTCATGTGCATTGCTGCATAGAGTAGGCGGATGAACTGGTCGCTTTTTTTGAGGTACCGTTCCATCTTGGCTTTCCCTCTTCTCGTCTCTAGTGAAAACCCGCCTTGCTCTGAGAATGCGAGTCTGCTCACAATGCGAAAAGACCCCTGTAGTTTGTTGGCTGGGTGTGTGAGAAATGAGAATCCTGGGCGGTGAGCTGCAAGATCATCTTGCACGGCATTGAGTTGGACATCTGGCCACCAATTGAAAAGGAGGTCTTGGGTAAGATTTTGCAATCTTACTACGACACTATGGATCGTTTCGCGGAATTGCCGCATATGAACCTGGGTGTCTGCGATATATAGCGTTAAGCCATCTAGCGACCATGATATGTTTGTTTGGGGGCCCTCGCGCCTAGCAATGGCCCGTCCATGCTGAAGCCGTTCAATAAGGTAACCAGCCGGCGCAAGGCTTCCTCGCTGAAGATATTTAGGTCGGATATGCTCACGCAATCGCTGTGATTGGTCAGGATAGACAGTGCGCTCAGGCCAAGGGGCTTTGAGATGGTTGTATGGTGCAAGCGGTAGTGCGTACTCGAGTATGATTAGACGCCCTACCCATAGGAGTGCTGATATAAACGGCGTATAATTATAGGGTTTGCGGAAAAATAGCTCTGTAGGATGAATTCCTAGAACGCCAGAGAAATGCATGATAGCGCTACGACTCATGTTTCCATCGTGCGACAGGTCCGTCCAGAACATGACAAGAAGTTGGAACAGATTCTCATGCACACCATCCAGCGATGGCTGGAGCAATACCCCGCAGTCTGCCTGCTGGCTAACATTTGAAAAACGGCTCCAAATATGGTTCATCATGGCGAGCTGAGCTGTAGTTAGCTGCAGTCCAGAGATTTCGCTCGTAGGCTCCTTTATGCTACGCGATAGTGCTAGTATCCGGAAGATATAGCATAGAAACCGCTCATGGATGACGTAGTATCTTCGCCGGGTTTGTTCGCGTTGAGGCAGCTCAAATGGATAAGGAAGGAAAGAAGGCGTCCAGCTCCGAAGCCAGCAACGCAGAACGCGCGGTGTCTGTTTGAGCGTCATTTCGCATCGCTGGAACACAATTCTGCTGGCTTCTAGTATCTTCCAAATAACCCTCTCTGTCTGCGCTGAGCTCACACATTCGAAACCATTCCAAAGGCCTAGTACAAGATCCTCGGATGTTCTCACGGAGGGCAATGCTGCAGCTGCGACGATAATATGGATAGGCTTGTGAGCGAACCACGTCGGCCATTCACAGCCTCGCAGCCACTCAGTGTTCTCGTCATGCTCTAGCTCTGCGTCTAGAGCTACCATATCATTCTCGCCATAAGAGCGCTGTTCTTCTTCTTCCTCTTCATCTTCCATCCGCAATAGGTGTTCTTCTTCGCTTATGGAGTATGTTTGTTCGGGAATCGCTTGCTGACTAGAGCTATTGTCTTGGGTTACTACCCAGTGTTTGGGCGAGTATGTCGTCCAGCTCTGCAGATAACATCTATACCTAGATTGATCTCGAAGGCATTCTGGAGCGCTGATGTTATGTTTTTCCTTCGCATGCTTTCGCATCCGATCCCAGTTGATTGTCTTTCCCTCTGTACAGTGTGGACAACAAAATCCAGGTACGGGTGGAAGAAGATACGAGAGTGGCGCGGATCTATCCTGGCGAGGTACTAGATCTTGAAAAGATTGCGCAGCGGGCATGCCGTCAAATCGTGCTATCGCCATGCGCCGTAGTTTGAATGGAACATGGTGGGACGTTTGAAGATGGGCATCTAAGCGCGTGACAGGTACTGCGGTGCAGCAGCGGGTGCAGATGATTACTTTCTCGCTTGGGATGAACGTGATATAATCTAGAGTAATTGGGTCATGTGGCTACAAGATATGAATTGTGAAGTTAGCGACTAATGGCTTTGATTTAGGCGATCGGCACGACGTACAAGGTGGTTAGCGATAGACGCTGGTGTTGACAGGATCCAATTTGTTGCCATCTCTACACTCTGAATCGTTACAACTATCAACGAAAAGCAAGAACATCAAGATAGCTCTACTATGACCAGTTGTATTTTACTATTAGGAGTATGATGGTTTACGAGGCTTACGCTAGAACTAAAATGTAGAAATTAAGGGGCTGATTCGCGCTAGACTATAATAGGCGAGAATCAGCGTCTGATCCGCGTTGCATGCGCGCGTTTTTGGATCGGGGTGCGTGATTACCCGATCAGGATGGATCGGGGTCGAATCCACGTAGCATCATATACTAGGTTTCTTTTCTTAAGAAGAAAAGGTTTTTTTTAAAAAAAAGTCACGTGATATTGCTAGAAAATTACCTAATTAGGTATAGTAAAGTGATAGATTTTTACCTAAATAGGCCTAGGCTTGT